TACAAACCTAATTCTAGAAAAAAAGTTGGGACACATCTAAAAAGAAAAGGAGGCGACAGTTTGGTTAATTAGCACCAGGTCAGCAGAAGGACGAGGTTTCTCAGAAGAAAAAGATGGTCAGAGGTTTACCGGCCTACAAACTGCTGTTTAAAAATAGAGCAACAATTTCAAGATGACATTCCTCAACAGCAAATTGGGCAGGCTTTGAGTATCACATCATGACTACAGTTCATATTTTCATCAAAAGTTTTTAAGATTTCAGAGAAATCTTGAGCTCTATAGAAAAAGCTGAACGTCATTATTAAATATTTGTGTTCTTCAAGGCCCTCGGGAGCCACTGCATAGAAACTGATTCTGTTCTGGACATCACTGCATGGGTTCAGGAACACGTCCACAAATCTGTGTGCACGGTTCACCAAACGGAGGCTCAAGCGCTATGAAACAAAGAAGAAGCCACATGTAAAACACAACCAAGGAACGCCGCTGTCTCTGGACCAAAGCTCGCTTAAAATAAACTGAGTCAAAGTTCAAAACTGTTCTGTGGTCAGACAAATCATAATGTCTGCATAAAAAACAAGAGGGAACATCCAACCTGTTATCACTGCACAGTTTAAAATACCTCTCTGGTGGTATAGGGGTGCATTAGTGCCAGCTTACACAACTGGAAAGCCACCATCAAAACAGAATCATACAAGTTTTAGAACAACGTGTGCTCCCGTCCAGACAGCGTCTTTTTTCAGGGAAGGTCTTGCATATTTCAGCAGGACAATGTTGATCCTCTGCAGCCATTACAGCAGCGTGGCTTTGTAGCAGAAGAGTCCAGGGGCTGAACTGGCCTGCCTGCAGTCCAGACCTCTCAAAAATGAAAACCTTGCTGCATCATGGAACAAAAGAATCCACCCAGTGGTGAGATGTAACTAAGTACAAATACTTTGTTACTGTACTTAAGAACATTTTTCATTTATCTGTACTTTACTTAAGTAGAGTTAAATGTGGGTACTTTATACTTTTACTCCACTACATTTTACATCAAGTATCTGTACTTTCTACTACACTACATTTCTATAATGTGTTGCATTACAAGTTACATTCATGTTGAGGCTTTTTGATTTTTTTGTTAGTTTGAAAGTAACCAATGGTGAGAGGGGAGTTGGTCCATTGAATCACTGCAAAGTGGACAGGTAACATTAGGCCCCGCCTTCAAGAAGAGCTGGACCAATGACATATATTCTAGTATATATGTCACTGAGCTGGGTGCATCTGCAGCACCACTAACACACCCAAAATGTATTCCACTATAAGAGAGTCAACCAGAAGATATGCTCCACCCATGGCTTTATTGAAAGACTGTTCAGTACAACAGGACAGATTCTGTCTCACAAAAGAGGCAGACTGGACTCAAAAAAATCTTTGAAAACCAACTTCTTCTGAACTTGAACAAGAAATTCTTGCTGCAATATTAAAATGTGTCAGTTCATGATGTTAGGAGACAAGAGATGTCTCCAAATGTCTTGACACTCGGGTCCAAGTTTTAAAAATGGTGTCAGGAAGTTAAAATATTGTTCAATATTGACCCATTACAATGTTGAATAGACAGTATTTTAACTGGAGTTGATGACAAACTGGAGTTGAAATGATCAGAGCCTGTTCCTTTGTTAGTTGTGTCTAATGTTCCTTTTGTTCAGACAGACAACTTTTACTTAAATGTGTTTACTGCAGTTAAAATGACACATTGGTTTTACTTTGTGTTAAATAAAAACTTTCAAAGGTATAATCATTCCTCTTTCTTATTTTGATTAATGGTATTTAACTCTGCATGTCATCCCTGAAATTCGGACGCACAGAATCACAAGTCCAAGTGTGAACTGTGTCACAGAGTAAACACAATAAAAACATGTATTATCTGCAGCATCGTTCATTAAAATGGAACAACACTATTAATGTATTACAGAAAATATACATACGGTAGGCAGACTTAAAGATATGTAGACTATTGCATTATGTAATACTTTCAGGAAGTACTTTTACTTTTAATACTGTATTTTAAAAGCAAGTACTTATTTACTTTTACTCAAGTAAAAATGTAATTGTGGTACTTCTACTTTTACTAGAGTACATTTTTGTCTGTTTATTTGTACTTTTACTTAAGTACAGTGTTTGAGTACTTTCTCCACCACTGAATCCAGCAAAGCCCCAGAACTGTTGAACAGCTCAACTCCTCCATCGGACATGTATGGGACAACAGTCCCCTCCAGAAACTGGTCTGCTCAGTTCCTACATGTTTACAGATTATCATTAAAAGAGAGGATGCTTCACAGAGGTAAACATGGTTACAATTTTTTATATCATCATATGCATTGTTCCTGTATTTAAAAAAAGATACATAATTACTTAGTTTAGACATTAGCTGTGTTAAAACTGTTCCACTGTGGTTATGGGTTTATGAAAGTTGCAAATCATTGCATTTTATACAACACCCCAACTTTTCTGACCCGGAGTTGTGATAAAGTTTTCAGAAACAATAGGATTCCTCCAGAGCATTGGTTGTTGCGTTTGAAGCTGTGTGAACAACAGGACCGTTATCTCTGCAGATTTCCTTTTATGGACGAAGGCATCTGATCGTCAGCTGGCGGCGCTGATCCTCTGACATGAGCACTAACATGATTAGACATAAATAGCACCTGTCTCAATAGTCTTTGTAACTGGATACAACCATGTGAATAGTTCACATATTGTCGGACAAGATGCACTAGAAAATACAAACTACACACACAGATCAGGGTTTATAATGAGTTGCCATGTTCCAAACAAATATTTCCCCTTGTCTAAAATATTGAAAACAGCTGAACAGACTAAAACGATCTTTGTTCTACACAGCTCATGTGAAGATGAAGATGAGTGTTAGGAAATCGACCAAAGGACTGCAGGACAGAAGAAACAGGACTGCAGAATGTTCATTTATCAGCTGTCGCTTAAGGCGAAGCTGCAATGATGTTTCGCCTGAGTGTGTGTGTGCATGAGTGTGTTTTGTGTCTTCTGTTAGGAAAATGACTCATAAATCAGTGAATGGGTTTAATAGTGTGAATGTTTATGAATCAACTATTATGATGCATTTTTCTTCCGTACATTTTCAGCGTGATTCTCGTCCCGCAGTTTTCAAGCTATTTCAACAAATCATAAATCAAACGTTCAGCTGTTTCAGGACAATCCTGCGATGAGTTTTGGTATTGGTGCAGCTTTAACTTTTTGAAATATTTAGCCTTTTGAAATATTTAGCCTTTTCTGACATTTTTTTCCTCCAAGAAAATGAATTGGAAAATGAAAAAGGGGGCAGGTCTATACAAGATTTTCTTCTTCCTGCTCCCTCTTCACTCATGCATAGTAAGTGTTGTCAGAGAATGTGTTTGTAAATTAATGAATTTGTTAAATCAAGTGAATAAACTGATTGATTGATTCAAATGAGCTCATTTTACATCCTTCAAATCTTTAGATCTGTTCTTTCAGCTTCCTTGTGCAAATTTAAACTTTTTTCAGCTACTTTGAGCTAATTTCAGCTGTTTTTCAGCTGTTTTGATCTCTTTTCAGATTCTGCTAACTAGAACATTTTGTGCATCTTTTAACTTCTTTCTGCTAATTTCAGTTTTTTATGCTCCTTTCAGCTTATTTCTCCTAATTTCAGCTTGTTCTGATATTTCAGCTGTTTTAATGCTAATTTTAGCTTTTTTCAGCAAATTCCACATTTTTTACACTCATTTCAACTTTTTTTCTGCCTAATTCAGCAAAAATGTGCTCTACACTTCCTTATGGTAATTTCAGCTTCTTTCTGCTATTTTAGCTACTTTTCAGCTGCTTTTTTTTGCTAATTTCAGCTTTTTTCAGATAATTTCCATTTTTTTGTGTTTATTTCTGCTTCTTTCTGCAAACATGTTCTTTCTGCTTTCTTCTGCTAATTTAAGCTTGTTCTACCTGTTCAGCTTCCTTTTTAGCATTTTTTTTTTTAGTTAATTTTGGTTGATTTTAGATAAATTCAAGTTTGTCATGTTAATTTCTGCTACTTTCAGCCTAATTAACTTCTTTCAGCTCCTTTCAGCTTATTCATGCTAAAGTTAGCTTTTTCAGCTAATTCAACATATTTTAAGCTCATTTCAGCTCTTTCCACTTCCTTCTGGTAATTTAAGCTTCTTTCTGCCTTTCAACTTTAAGCCATTTTTGCTAATTTCTTTTTTTAAGCTGATTTCCTGATTTTTGTGCTCATTTCTGCTTATTTAAACCTATTTCAGCAAATACGTGTTCTTTCTTCTGCTAATTTAGGGTTGTTCTTCTATTTCAGCTACATTTCAGCATGGTTTTTAATTAATTTCAGCTGTTTCTCAGCAAGTTCTTCTGCAATAAGCATTCACACTGCATCTTCGCAGGAAATGCAATTTTTCTATTTAAACTCTTAAAATAATCCATGACTGAACATTTACAAATGATCAACTTTTGAAGTCAATCACATTCAAGATGGCTGCCACAGCTGCCACGGTAAAGAAAGGCTTTAACTTCACTTTGACCAATCCCAAGATAAATTTGGTGTAGTAGTAGCTGAAGTCATCTCCTTGACATTCTTTAAGTGCTAACTCATTTCACAATTTCTCACAATATTGCATGACGTCACACATACGGCCATTTGATGGGAACAGCTGTAGCCCCGCCCCTTCTAACCATAAGACTATCTTAGTCTAAAACTCTGGCATGAAAAGTGGTGGACATGTATTGCTTCAAGGGACGTAAGGCCTTTAATTTGAATTTTTAGCTGCATTTTTAATGCTGAAATCTAAATTCAAACAAAATGACCAAACCAACAAAAACATCTGATTTATTACACGAGCGCACCCTTCCAGAGAATCTTTCATGCAGAAACATGCAGTTTAGGGGACACGAGAATAAAAACACCTGAGGGTAGCTATACAGAAATAGTAGCTGTTGTGTATATTATAACATGTACATAGCTTGAAGTCAGTGCTGCGCATGGAAAACATGATTTATCTGCCATGAAACTGTTTTGCCTCTAGGGTTTATTCCACGTTGTTTACATTTCTCCTCTCAGGTAAACACGAGCAGCCTCTCACAGACATCTATAAACCGGCTGTGGGACTTTTGAGATGATGTTTCTCTAAAACTGACACAGTGGTATTCTTGTTGTTCTTCTGTCGTTTAGACAAATTTAAGCACATTCGTTATGTGCGGGGACTAAAGGTCACAAAGCGTAACAACAATGCAGGATCTGAAAAATACAGAAACAATCAGGCACTGTATTTAAATAAATCTTGCAAAGTTGTTTTTTCTCCCCCCATCAGCTGCGTCCTGATCAACTTCCAGTTTTTCACAGATGATGGTGGAGTCACAGTGCGGGACAAAAATAAAGTTTTGTTAAGGACTACTCCACTCCTTTCATGAACTCCAAAAATTCTGTAAGAAAAAGAGAGAAAGAGCCCTGCTTAGGGAGTTCTTACTACCATTTTTCATCATTTTATTTCCTTTTCTTTTGTTCTTTGTGTTTTGTTCAAACTTCCCACCATCATAGTCGATTTTGCCATCGTTGTTCTTGTCCCCGTCCTTCATCAGCTCCTCGATGTCATCCTCTGTGATGGCCTCTCCAGTCGATTCCAGCATCATTTTCAGCTCCTCCAGGTCGATGTAACCGTCTGCGTTCCTGCACAAATCACAGCAGCAACATTTCTACATGAAGCTACATGGGTGGCGTGTTCCTGTGTGGCACGTGCACTAAGATGTCTGAATTTTAAGAGTCTGGGAGCCATCGCTGTAGGGAGAGGGAGGACAAATGGCATGTTTGCTCTTTGACGCTCAGATGAGGTGTCTGCCTTACACATCAGTGGGTGTTGGAATTACTCTGCGCTGTCAGAAACGATTAGGGAGCGAACTACATGCAGCACTCTGCTGAGCTGCTTGGCATTTTGTCAGAGCACATAATTGCACACGGGGAGCATACTTTACAGGAACCGCACTTAAGAGTGGTTTGATAACCAGGCTGTGGAAGCTCTGAGATGAAAGCGTCCACACTTGGTAAAGATATTCTGACTAGTCTGTGAGGAAGTTTACAGCAGAACATGGATGATTGTGTCAGCTGCGTTCGGTGCATTCATTCTTTAAAGGGGATAATGGCACAAGAGTTCAAACAGGAAGCTCACTTGTCAAACATCCGAAACAGCTCGGCTAGCTCTTCCTCTGTCTTTCCTTTGCTGTCGTCCTTCATGCATCGCACCATCATCACCAAGAACTCATCAAAGTCCACCGTGCCGCTCCCTGCACACACACACACACACACACACACACACACGCACGCACGCACGCACACACACACACACACACACACACACACACACACAGATTCTCACACTTCAGTTACAGATAACAATCACAACTGCTTCTTGAAGCAACAGTACGTGAACCCATGCATCATTGTGTTGCCCAGTTTGAACTGTGCTATTTAGTACAAACGTTCATAGTAATATCATTTGAGTTTAAAAACGATGTCTAAGTGATAAAAGTGGAATAAATATAAAAGATATAAAACCTTTTTTGCCATTTAAAAATGTATCATTTTAAAAATATTCATATTTGGTCAAGAAAATCTAGTTTAAGCAGACTGAAACAGGCAGCTGTCAATTTTTCCATGTTCCTTGAAGGTCACATGAGTTTGTTTTTGAGGAGTGCAGCACATGGTGCACATGGCAGCTCTACAACTTACTCTTTGAGTTGTGCTAAGTGTCAGTCTGGTTCAGTTTTGTTTTGTATTGGATTAAGCATTTTATTTGGCCCAATCAAATGGGAGTGGGCGGGATTAATGGTGCGCTGCAGGAAACGCGGCTCTGTCTGAAAACCAGACAAGTGCAGAGTGCACAGCGATGAAGACGTGGGACAATAACAGAATATAATAATATAATAATAATATAACAGAGTAAAGCTGTTCATTACAACGGTTAATGTAGAGTTGCTGACTGTAACGGACTTTAAGAAGCATATGAAAGTGGACCAGGAGCTAATCTTTAAACCTGCTGGATGAGTTAGGACCTCGGTGTTCGTGCGACATCACCTGCCTACTTAATTTACTCAGTGTCAAATTGAAGGGATCTCCACTTCTACCTTTTCCCAAATCAATCTCAAACTCTGAAGGATTTGTGAGTCCAAAACTAAATTAATACACATGCTTTTTATTTTATTTGCTCAGTCAGTGAGCGAACGAGCTGTTTGTTTTTAGCTCCCACGCACCCAAGCATCGATTCAGGCCTGCAACGGGTTATTTTGGGGTTGAATTTTATATTTGAAAAGCCTTACATTTTTTGTCTATTATTTAAAAACATAGGTTTGTTTAATTTTATATGTGAATCAAATTAAATTCTTAGTTGGTTAAACAAAGTGTAACATCATAATTCACTGCTAAGTGGAGGCACCACCATTAAATTAAATATAAACAGTAAGTTGTATCTCCTGTAAGCTGTTAGTATGGCGATCTTTAAAATAACGTTCCCAGGGCCCCGATCAATGTACTGCATTTCAAACTAACCTATTGGTTAAATCTTTAGCTACGTGGTACGGGCGCTACAGCTGTTAGCAGCATTAAAAGTTATCGCCCGCTGCAGAGGCCAAGACAGTTTTTATCCACAAACGCGTGTGCCTATCTATTAGCAAAATATCTCATGAACCATTTGACATATCTGAATGGAACTTGCAGGATGAAACCATTGGATGTACATCTATAGCTGATGCACCACAAAATGGCTGCCACAGACAACTTAATAAAAAAACATGGCTATAACTCAGTCAGCTTTAAAATCTTGGTGTGGTAGTACTGATTACCAACACACACTGAGCACCCATCGATTGCTCCCAGTTTTTGTATACAATGTTGCTATTAACTCTTTTTAAAGTTAATGTCTGACTGTAAGCAAAATATTTCAAGAACAACTGGATGGACACAGTAATGACACTTCTAGAAAATAATCACTGAGTGTAAAACTGCAGCTGTTGATTCATGGAGCCAACTCGGTTTAAGTTAAGTCAAATCTGAAAACACAAACACTTCTATGATTCAGTGAATTTGATTTAAGCTCAAATATTTGTGGCTGAGACTGATCACACATTCTGAGGGTTAATAGTCTGACGTCAACCATTTGACGTCATTTCTGTTTGTTAGCAAAATATATCATGAACCAGTACATTTTGATGAAACTTTTACAAAGTAATCATTAGATGTTCATCTATAACTGACTGACGTTTGAATTAAATCCAGTTCAAGCAAGCTACCAATGCTAACCCACATTAGCTGACACAAAATTTGATCCAATTGCTAAAATTATGGTCTGGTAAGGGTTTAGTTATTGACAATGCATACTCTTAGCATCACATCTACTGCACGAGATCATGGTTTGACCAAAATGACTACAACTTCCTAATTTCTCAACGTAAGAACTTAAACTCTGCCATGAAAAGAGGCGGGTGATATGCATTTCTTCAAGGAATGATGGGCCTTTAATTTATTAGAAAATATAACGTGTTTATTTCATAAAGCTTTCTCAAACAAGTGAGAACGGAGAAACTGAGAAGCTATTTCTTTTATCTTTCATCTTGACATCACGTGGAAAATTCAAGCTGACTTGTGCGTCGTCTGAGACATGTTCCCCTTTAATCCGGTCCGACACATCCTGCTCTCTTCGAGACCTTTGACTCGACATTAAGGTTACAGGGTTTGACTGATGCTTGTCTGCCTAACGTGAGCAACCTCATAGGTGATCCATGGGCATGAAGAGGTCAACATGAATAAATCTTGTTGCTTTTTTAAAATCCTTTTTTTTAGGGATAATTCTGAATTACCGTCTTCATCCACTTCATCGATCATCTCTTGCAGCTCCTCCGGCGTGGGGTTCTGACCGAGCATCCTCATCACCTTCCCCAGCTCCTTGGTGCTGATGCAGCCGTCCTCTGCGTCTTGGACGAAGATGTCAAAGGCAGCCTTGAACTCTGTAACACAACACACATGAACAAAATAAACGCTGTTGTAGGGTGAGGTGTTTTTTAACATTGCCTACTGATAAAGATAAAATTTTATGTGGAATGTTTGAAGCAGTAATTCAGATCTTTTTGAAGTGGGGTTCTATGGAAAGGTTACAAACAGTTAATATCTTACCTGTTGTAGACGTCTCTTTGAACAAAGCCAGTTTGGAGAAGCAGAGTTTAATAGTGATGAGGTTAGGAGTTAGGGCAATATTAGATTGTGATGATCTGTTAAAGCAGAATGATTGTTGGCTCGTCTACAGGGCGCAACAAGATTTTCCTCTTTATTTATTTTTTTTGCTCTAAGTTTCTGTTTCTGTTCATCTATTCAAAGTTTACCTCAAAAACAATTTAAGGGAACAGATGATTAGCTTCATAGGCTAGTTAAAAGTAAGAGTCCACTTTATCAAAGTTATGTTGTTTACCATTTAAATTTGGGGGTTTGTAAAAATAGTCTGAGACTAAATACTTGTTAAATCTGATAATTTATTCTGATTACAATATAATGTTATCTATAATTGATCCAAGTTGAGAAACTGCACAGAGTTGTTACAATTTGCACAAATATGTTTTGACCCAAATGTTCTAATAATCTATTTTCCTTATAGTACTTTGTTTTTACGTATGAATATAATATGATTGTGTTATCTTGTAACTTGAAAAACTAATATTAAAAATCAATAGTAAAAAAAATGTATATTGTAAAAAAATTTTGATTGTGGCTTTACTATAGAAAGGGACATATATATATATATATATATATATATATATATATATATATATATATAAACAGGTATGACGTTAATTGTTTTTAACTTATCCATAGAGTTCAACATCAAATGATCTAAACTTTTCTGATGCTAAAAGCAGCTTACGCACCATTTTTCTGTTCATCCGTCAGCTGCTCAACCTGTAAAAGATGAAAACGTTTATAGTATTTAATATTTTCAGAACAAAAGTTTATTTTTTTCTTATGTGGATATCAAAATATGAATGTAATTTTAGTCCCTGTGTATAATGCTCCTGATCTGTCATTAAAAAGCTGTTCCATGCACTGGGGGCAACGCTTCACAAAACACACCACCTATGTAACATGTGTAGGAGCCAGTTAGAGGTGGGGTTAAAAATAGACCCAGGAGGGTCAGGGACCACAGACAAAGGACATGATGCACAATGCTTTAAATTAGCATAGCTGTAGAGCTGACCCAACAATGCCACGGTAATCCTGGAAAAGCTACAACGAATGAGAGAAGGAGACAGCTGCTTATGTAAGAGTTGTCTTCTGTCGTCAGCTATAAATTAAACACACATATACAGATGCTCTCATACACACACTGTACTGGTGATGATATACAAAGACTTTTTTTATCCACCCGAACAAACACATGCAAACTGTCTGCTCATTTGGGATGTGAGTGGACGGGACAGCCGGTGGACTGTCCAGGGGAGAAGGAAGGGCAGAAACTCCCCCCACAGAGTTTTTAGGACGATAGATAATGCTGGAATTTAACAGAGATAGAGGGAGGGTGGTGTTATCTAGACCTGAAGGCCTGCTGTGGCACCAGAGAACCACGGACACTGAAGCGTCAGAGCAGATGGCCAAAATTAGCCGTGAGCAGCAGGACTGTTCCATTTGAAGTCAAATGTCAAGAATGAGACAGCAGACAAGAGACACGTCCCGTCGCTGACCTCATGGGAGTCTGATAAAATTCACAGACATCTACAGTGGTGCTCGAAAGTTTGTTAACTCTTTATTATAATTTTCTATATTTCTGCATAAAAATGACCAAAAACATCATCAAATTTTCACACAAGTCCTAAAAGTAGATAAAGAGAACCGTATTAAACAAATGAGACAAAATATTATACTTGGTCACTTATTTATTGAGGAAAATGATCCAACATATTTGTAAGTGGTAAAGTATGTGTACCTTTGCTTTCAGTACCTGGTGTGACCCCCCCCCCAGGTGCAGCAATAACTGCAGCTAGATGTTTCCCATAACTGTTGATCAGTCCTGCACACCAGCTTGGAGGAATTTTAGCCCACTCCAGAACAGCTTCAGCTCTGGGTGTTGGTGGTTTCCTCACATTAACTGCTGCTTCAGGTCCTTCCACAACATCTGGACTGGATTAAGGTCAGGACTTTGACTTGGTCATTCCAAAACATGGACTTTATTCTTCTTGAACTATTCTTTGGTAGAACCACTCATTGTCTCACTGCATGACCCACCTTTTCTTGAGATCTATCTCATGGACAGATGTTCTGACATTTTCCTCTATAATTCTCTGACATAAATCAGAATTCATTGTTCCATCAATGACGGAGAGCCGTCCTGGCCCAGATGCAGCAACACAAGCCCAAACCATGATACTACCTCCACCATGTTTCACATATGGGATAAGGTTCTTATGCAGGAATGCAGAGTGTTCCTTTCTCCAAACATAACACTTTTCATATAAACCAAAAAGTTTTATTTTGGTCTCATCCGACCACAGAACATCCTTCCAACAGTCTTCTGGCTTGTCCACATGATCAACCCTGCCATGAACATCATTGTTGGTCAGTGTTCTCCTGATGGTGGACTCATGAACATTAAGATCAGTCAATGTGAGAGAGGCCTTCAGTTGCTTAGAAGTTACCCTGGGGTCCTTTGTGACCTCGCAGACTATTCCACGCCTGGTTCTTAGAGTGATCTTTGTTGGTCCACCACTCCTGGGGAGGGTAACAATGGTCTTGAATTTCCTCCATTTGTACACAAACTGTTCTTTAAATCAAACAGGGTTCCCCACTCACACCTGATTGACATCCCATTGATTGAAAACACCTGATTCTAATTTCACCTTCAAATTAACTGCTAATCCCTCCCTTGAACTGAAATAAGAAATGGACCTGGAGGAATCCATGCCAGACTCAATCTGGAGAAACATCATAAAGAACATTTACTCATCCTCAGTCTATCTGAGACATGCTGTAATTCAATTCAAGGTGGTGCACCGGTTGCACTGGTCCAAAGATAAGCTGTCCAAGATCAAAGTCGACCTGGATCCCGCATGTAATCATTGTAAACAAACTCCAGCTACACTCCTGCATGCATTCTGGACCTGTCCCAAACTCCAGACCTTTTGGCAATCTATTTTTGACAACTTCTCTGGGATGTGTAGAAACACTGTACATCCATCTCCATACATCTCACTGTTTGGGGTGGTCCCTGTGGATATGTCTTTCAGCAAATGTGAGAAAAAGGACGTGATTGCTTCCGGCTCTCTTCTGGCCAGATGACCTTTTATATTCTCCCCCCCCCCCCCCCCGCATATGTACAATGGATAAGAGAAGTGATGTATCATATACATTTGGGAAAAAAAATCAAATATACCCTGAAGGGTTCTGTTAAAAGATTTTGCGACACTTGGCAGCCTTTTATGTTGTATATTGAAAACATGTCAATGCCCGTTTAGTTTATTCAGTTCAATTCAGTGTATTTATATAGAGCTAAATCACAACAAAGTTGTCTCAGGGCACTGTTTGTATGTTAAAAAAAAAATTTAACTGCTAATCCCAGAGGTTCACATGCTTTTCCACTCACAAATATGTGAGATTGGATCATTTCCCTAAAAAGTATATGACCAAGTCTAATATATTTGTCTACTTTCTATTTAACTGGGTTATCTTTATCTACTTGTAAGACTTGTGTGAAAATCTGATGATGTTTTAGGTCATAGTTGTGCAGAAATATAGAAAATCCTGAAGGCTTCACAAACCAAGTACAACAGTGTAAGGATGGGAAGACTCTTCTGGTGATGGAGAGGATGTGCAGCAGGAACTGAAGTGATGTCAGATGATTAATCAGAGGCAGGACTTTGTTCATTCAATCACAAAAACAACTAAAATGTAAACATGACACATTGAAATTGCAGCCCCTTTTTAACCAAAGGAAGTTGCAAAAAGTTTGACTGATAAGATGTGAGACTGTAGCTGAAATAACTCAACAGGTTTGTTCTTACAGAGTTTGGGTGTGTGCACTCTTTAGGGGGAGCCGGCTGCACACTCTAAAGCATACGAGCTAAAGAAGAGAGAACGTACCGCTGCTTTGTAGATGTCGTTCATCCTGAGGGTTCCTCTGCTTCCTGTCCTGGCACAAAGGAAGGAGGTTACGTACAGCTCGCGGCAGGACTCTGGTCTCTTCCTGGGAGGGTTTTATAGCTGGAGCCTGCCACTGTCTGTGTCCCTTCCTGGGCCAACCAGCCTCACACACTTATGCGTGTCAACAAACGTGTGTGTGTGTGTGTGTGTGTGTGTAAGCGGCATTTGGCCAATCTGTCACAATCGCCAGGCTCAGATAAAAATGCAGCAGCTCTTAGGGGACACACTATGGAATGGTATGAAGTTGGGGAGGTGGGGGCACGCATGGTGAGGCCTAATCTCCAGGGAGAGGGCACTCAACATTCCTCCAGACCTGGACCAGGGGAGTAGAAAATGTTCTGTGTCTGTGAGTGTTTGTGGGGGGGTTGATAGAGGTGGTGTGAGACAGCATCAAAGAGACGTTTGATTCTTTGTCTTTACTTGAACGCATGAATGATTCCTAAAAACAATATGGTGTAAAATAGAACTACTGCATATGTTTGTGTTCAAAGGATAGTTCAGATCTGTAGAAGTGGGGTTTTATGGAAAGGTTATGAACAAATAATATCTTACCTGTAGTTAATTGTTGTCCGGTTTGATGAGCTAACAGCTAGTCTGAATAAGGTCTAAGGAGATTGCTGCTGTCTCAAAACAGCTCTGATATCAAAAGTTTAGCAGTTTATAAAAATCCCATTTTATAGCTTTTACATTGTCAATTTAAAATTATAATTATTCCATAAGAAAAGTTTATGGTTGTTTTAAATGGCAGTGTTTTCAGACTAGCCTTTAGCTTGTCAATTTTTTCAGAATAAAAGTTGCCTGCAACCCTGTACGCCAAAGTTTTAATTACAGATGTGTGGCTCGTTGGTGCTCAGCATACTTGTAAGGAATGACTCTCAGCTACCACCACACCTAATTTTAGCTCAATCTCTGTAAAACTGACTGAGTTACAGCCATTTTTATGTTTGCAAAAGTGAGTTAGCTGTGGCAGCCATCTTGTATCTGGATGACTCCAAACGTTAATCAGTTGTATCGTCTGGAAAGTATTCACAGCACTTCACTTTTTCCACATTTAGTTATGTTACAGACCTTATTCCAAACTGCATTACATCAAACTCTTTTCTCAAACTTCTACACACAACACCCCATTATGACAACGTGAAGAAAACACGGGATTTTTGCAAATTCATTAAAAATAGAACATTAAGAAATTTACAGTAAGTAAGTATTCACAGCCTTTGCTTAATACTTTGTTGATCCACCTTTGGCAGCAGTTACAGCATCAAGTCTTTTTGAATATGATGCTTCAAGCTCAGCACATCTGTCTTTAGACAGTTTGTCCCATTCTTCTTTGCAGAACTTCTCAAGCTCCATCAGGTTGGATGGGAGACGTCTGTGCAGCCATTATCAGACATCTCCAGAGATGTTCAGTCAGATTCAAGTCTGGACTCTGGCTTGACCCCTCCAGGACCTTCACAGAGTGGTCTTGAACCCCTCCTTTGAGATCTTGTCCATGTGCTTTTGGTCGTTGTCCTGCTGAAAAATGAACCGTCGCCCCAATCTGAGGTTGAGCGCTCTGGAGCAAGTTGTCTCTGTGCATCACTGCATTCATCTTTCCTTCTATCCTGACTAGTCTGCCAGTTCCTGCTGCTGAAAAGCATCCCCATAGATGATGCTGCCACCACCATGCTTCACTGTAGGGATGGCATTGTCCTGGTGATGAGCGGTGCCTGGTTTCCTCCAAATATGACGCCTGATATTCATAACAAAGGGTTCAATCTTTGTCTCATCAGACCAGAGGATTTTGTTTCTCATGCTATGAGAGTCCTTCAGGTCCTTTTGTCAAACTCCACACGGGCTGCCATGTTGCCTTTTATTAAGGAGTGGCTTTTGTCTGGTCACTCCACCACACAGGTCTGATTGGTGGATTGCTGCAGAGATGGTTGTCCTTCTGGAAGGTTCTTTCTCCACAGAGGAACGCTGGAGCTCTGACAGAGCGACCATCAGGTTTGTGGTCACCTCCCTGACTAAGGCCCTTCTCCCCCGATCACTCAGTTTAAACATCAAGCCAGCTACGAAGATTCAAGGTGGTTCCAAACTTCTTCCATTTATGAATGACGGAGGCCACTGGGCTCACTGGGACCTTCAACGCAGCAGAAACTTTTTTGCATTCTTCCCCAGATTTGTGCCTCAACACAGTCCCGTCTGGGAGATCTACAGACCTTTAACTTCATGCTTCGTGTTTTTCACTCTGACGTGCACTGTCAACTGTGGGACTTCATATAGACGGGTGTGTGCATTTCCAAATCAAGTCATTCAACTGAACTGACCACAGGTGGACTCCATGTAAGTTGTAGAAACATCTCAAGGAGGATCAGTGGAAACAGGATGCATCAGAGCTGAATTTGGAGCTTCAAGCAAAAGCTGTGATTACTAAATGTGATTTCTTAGTTTTCTATTTTTAATAAATTTGCAAAAATCTCTAAAAATCCTTTTTCACATTGTCATAATGGGGTGTGTTGTGTGTAGAATTTTTAGGAAAGAGGTTAATTTAATACAATTTGGAATAAGGCAGTAATACTGTACAACAAAATGTGGAAAAAGTGCTGTGAATACTTTCTGAATGCACTGTATATATATATATATATATATATATATATA